TCAGCTCCTCCTCTGCACCCTCAGCTCCTCCTCTGCACCCCAGCTCCTCCTCTGCACTCTCAGCTCCTCCTCTGCACTCTCAGCTCCTCCTCTGTACTCAGCTCCTCCTCTGCACTCTCAGCTCCTCCTCTGCACCCTCAGCTCCTCCTCTGCACTCTCAGCCCCTCCTCTGCACTCTCAGCTCCTCCTCTGTGCCCTCAGCTCCTCCTCTGCACCCAGCTCCTCCTCTGTACTCTCAGCTCCTCCTCTGTGCCCTCAGCTCCTCGTTTGCACCCTCAGCTCCTCCTCTGCATCCTCAGATCCTCCTCTGTGCCCTCAGCTCTTCCTCTGCATCCTCAGATCCTCCTCTGTGCCCTCAGCTCCTGCGCGGTGGCCTCAGCTCCCCCTCTGCGCCTTCAGTTCCTCTTGTGTGTCCACAGCTCCTCTGCACAGGCAGCTCTTCCGCTGTCCCCTCAGCTCCTCCATGCACCCTCAGCTTTTCCTCTGAGCCCTCATCTCCTCTGAGCTCTCATCTCCTCTGAGTGCGCAGCTCCTCTTCTGCATCCTCTGCTCCTCCTCTGCACCCTCAGCTCCTCATCTCCTCCCTCAGCTCAGCTGCACCTGCAGCTCCTCCTCTGCACCCTCAGTTCCTCCTCTGTGCCCACAGCTACTTCTAATGCTCTGTGCTCCTCCTATGCACCCTCAGCTCCTCCTCCATGCCCTCAGCTCCTCCGTGCTCACAGCTCCTCTTCTGTACCTGCAGCTTCTCCTCTGAACACTTAGCTCCTCCTGTGCACCCTTAGATCTTCCTGTGCACCCTCAGTTTCTCCTCTGCACTCTTAGATCCTCCTCTGCACCCTTAGCACTTCCTCTGCAACCTCAACTCCTCCACTTTGTCCTCAACTCCTCTGAGACCTCAGCAACTCCTCTGCACCTTCAGCTGCTCCTCTGCACCCTCAGCTCTTGCTCTGCATCTTCAAATCCTCCACTTTGCCCTCAACTCCTCCTTGGCGCCCTCAGGTCCTCCTCTGCACGCTCATTTATGTGCCCTCAGCTCCTCTTATGAGCCCTCAGCTCCTCCTCTGCATCCTCAGCTCCTCCTCTGCACCCTCACCACCTCCTCTGCGCTCTCAGCTCCTTTGCGCCTGCAGTTCCTCCTCTCTTCCCTCAGCTCCTCCTCTGCACCCTCAGCTTCTCCTCTGCACCCTCAGCTCCTCCTCTGCACCCTGAACTTCTCCTCTTCACCCTCAACTCTTCTACTTTGTCCTCAAGTCCTCCTCTGCGCCATCAGCTCCTCCTCTGGGTTCTCAGCTCCTCCTCTGCGCCCGCAGATCCTCCTATGCACCCACAGCATCTCCTCTTCTCCAGTAGCTCCTCCTTTCCACCCTCAGATACTCCTCTGTGCCCTCAGCTCCTCTTCTGCACTCTCAGTTCCTCTGCACCTTCAGATTCTGTGCCTTCAGCTCCTCTTCTGCACC